GGGTGTAGGATTGCACTGGAGACCACCCTCCATGCAGCCTCCCTTGCCCAGGCCATGGACGGTAATAAATGGAGGCAGCCTGAGCGATAATAAAAGCAATTGAGTAGGTTACCTGTGCAGACACAAGATTTATGCCTCTTCATATTTGATGTGATTGTTTTATTGAGTTCTCAGAACAGTTGGGACACAATTTATTTATTTATTTAGGATTTTCCCTCTCTATTCTTCTCTGCATCATCCTCCAAAACCCACCTGGAGCTATCATTAGGCCCAATCCCTCCTGTCTGCCCCCTCTCAAGAGTTGCCAGCTGAGGTAAGAACTCAGGGCAACCAGCCATTGCTCTCACCTGAAAGCCATTTTCTGGCCTGAACACCTGCAGAACCAGCCAACAGGAAGACAGTCAGATTAACAAGACTGCTGGCCAAGCAGACCAGTCTAAAGTAACTGAGGGACCGGATGCGGTGGCTCACGCCCATAATCCTAGCACTCTGGGTGGTTACGGTGGGAAGATGGCTTGAGCTCAGGAGTTTGAGACCAGCCTGAGCAATAGCAAGACCCCCCCCCCAACCATCTCTACCAAAAATAGAAAAAAATTAGCCAGAGGTTATGGTGTGCACCTGTAATTCCAGCTACCTGGGAAGCTGAGGCAGGAGGATCACTTGAGCCCAGGACGTGGAGGTTGCAGTGAGCTATGATGACCCCATTGCACTCTAGCCTGGGCAACAGAACAAGAGTCCATCTCAAAAATAAATAAAAATAAAATAACTGAGGAAACAAAATTGAGCGTTTCAGGAAGACAACTCTAGCCCACTTTAAGGAATAAGAATACCAACTTTTATACCTATTTCACATGTTATTTTAATGATGGGCAACTTCTGCAACAGGGGACTCTCTGGGGAAGGACAAGTGAGCAAGATTTTTCAGAAACTGGCTTGTTTGTCTGCTATTTGTGAGCTCAGTCTGCTAGGCTCAGGGCCACAGAAGGCAAATTCTCTGTCTTTATTTCTCTCATTCCTCTGTGGGTAGAAGTCTTTTTCTTAACTCTCCAATTTTCCCTGGCTCTCTGCCACGAGACCAACAGCCCTGACCACCAAACAGCTGCAAGGGTATGGAGATGTGGCCGGCAATGCCGCCCCTCTGGCCTCGTTTCATTCCAAGCCAGGTCCAAGAGTCAAATATGCAATGTTCTGAGAGAGAGAAACAGACCTCAGCCCTGAATGTGTCTTCAACATTCCCTGGGCTAGGATGAGCAACTCCCAGATTTTTTGGTTCTGTAGACCACTGTCACTCCACAGCCAGACCTCTGACAAAGACCTCAGAATGACACAACTGAGACACTCAAATAGTACAGGATGAAATTCTTTAATGCAGTGCTGGGATGATAGCATTATTGAAGCCAGCGTTGCCACTGCTAGGAGAATGAATGTGCTCACTTAGAGCCAAACGGGCTAAGGGCGAGTGTGGGTAGTGGGTGGTCAGTGAGCAGTTGACTCTGGCAGAGTACACTCCAAAGATCTAGGAATGGGGAGTGGCCCTGACCCCAAAGAGTGTCACTGAGGCTGAAAAAGTAGAAGGTGATGCCCTTATTGTCAGTTCATTCCAAGAGAGCACCCTGGGGGGATCTCCAGTTACCCTAGACTCTATCTGGGGTTTGTGCCTATTCTTTCAAAGGAGCTGTATTGCCTGCCCAGAGCAACAGCCAAACCAGAAGACTTTGGCATATAATCAGGAAAATCCTTCCTGCCTAGTCAGTTGCTCAGTGGTATAACCAGGTGACGTTTTCCCCTTTCAGTAGCATGGATCTCCCTCTACCTCTTCCCCCTCCAGGCCATTTCCCACACCAAGTTTCCATCTAGAGTCACCTGTTTATAAATACCCACTCTCTACAGCAGCGGTGTACAAGCTGAAGAGCTGGAAACTCTGTGCTCTGCAATCAGTTACCGATGTTTAGAAATATTCAGATAAATTCCACACACTAAGCAACCCAGTCAATCCTCAGGGATTTTTGACAGTGGTCTCTACGAGTGGGGTGGTCTTCCTGACCTAGTCCTCTGGTTCAGAAAGGCACTTCTAGGGGGATTTGCTAATAGAGAATGCAGGTTGGACTGCCGAGCCTTTATCGCGACAGGATCAGAGAAGGTCAAAACCATTTTTAAAGCACGAAAAGCAATTTAGTTTATAACCATAACAGCATATTTCAAGTGCAGCGACGGCATATGTTTTGGGGAGGAGAAAATGAAAAACCTTTGGCTCAGGTGGGTGAGCATGTGTGGACCTCCTTCCTTGCCAACCACCGGCTCATGCACATCCTTACTCATAACTGTTATAAAGTACTCAACACAAGTGGGCCCCTCACCAGCAACAAAGCTCTAAACTCAAGAACCACCCATTCCCTGATGCACCACACTTTCTGCACAGAGGAAAATCTCCAGGCTCTTCCTACAGTGAGTGAGAATTCTCAAAACAGAGAAAAAGCAAAGTTCTGACATAAGCAGCAGCAGCAGAAACATCCTGTCTTTATCAGGCTTTAGGGTGAAAACAACATATCTCAGCTAAACCTTCCCTCTTCAGAGCAAAGCACCTACAGGAATGAAGCTAAGGATGTGGTGCATTCCCCCGGCCCCCAGAAGTCTTTCCAACTTATGAACCATCGGAGGATGCTGGCCCAAAGCAAAACTGAGAAGAGCCTGAATGCTCCTCATTGACAAAGCAAGCTGGGAAGCCTAACTGTGGACCCAGGGCTGGCTGCCCACACTGCTGGTGGCCTCCCAGTCCCTCTTCTCCCACTCCCTCTCCATCTCCAGTGACACCTGCCCACAGATGGCCATTTCTCCACACCTGAAGGAAGCCACTGTGCCCCTCAGGTGGCAGGGCTCTGTGCTGGGCAGATTCCCCAGCTGCCAGCACTGTCAAGCTGAGGCTGTTCTTTCCCACTCTCATTTCATCTGCGGCTCCCTTGTCTACTTTGTCCTGATTCTGGTGGGTGTACCTCAAAGCCTCTGGAGCTTGATCCTGGGCTTGCCTCTCCCCTGCACTCTGTGGCTTTTCTGGATAAAAGTACTCCCAAACTTGTCCCTAAGCCAGCTTCCAAAATGGTCTCAGCCAGTGAGGGCTATTTGTTGGGGGGGACTGGGGACAGGGCCACCACCACACCTGTCTTATCACTCCACTCCTCTACCCCATTCAAGAAAAACAAATTACCTAAACCCTACGTGTCTTGGGTTCCTCCAATTACTTGAAAATCCTATCACTGACAATAAGCAATTCTCTTAAATGTTCTCCAGAACACCACTACCCAGTCAGTCCTCAGCATGGCCACCTTTGGCCCTGGTTCTTCTCTTCCCAAGAACTCAGTTCCAACTGCTCCCAGGACCAGCAGTCAGCCAAGAGACTGAATCCCTAAATGGCTCAGAAAACAATGCTTTGTCCCCTTCCCCTCTAACTGCCACTCCAGCCTCAGTCCCAAGCTTCCTCAGCCTCCTCCCCTGGCTTTTAAATGCGAAGGACTTATTCCTCTCCCAAACCATGGGGCATCTTTCTCCAGCTCCTTTGGAAGGTATCTGAATGTCAAATCGCTACACTTTCAATACCTGGCTGAGCCAGGCCCCGGGAGCTGGAGGGTTTTCGGAGGGTGTATAATTAGCTGATCAGTATTATGTTACCCTGTTCATAACTGAATAACCATTTTAATACAGATGGCACACACCGGGATAATTTCTGGGGTCGCCTCGCAGTACGTTACAGCACGAGTGTGGCAGAGGGAATCTTTTTTAGCCAAGGTACATTCTACCAGCTAATTTTACCTGCTGTTTTCAGGATGATTTGGGATAATTCCATATCATTTGCAAAATATTAAAAAAAAAAAACTCTTTATATGTGATGCCAGTTTCAGAATAAGGTACCATCTGAATTATTAGTTGTCCTGATAATGAGCCTATGAAGAGTAGAAATGATAACAAGGGCATGAAACCCTTAGCCCTCTTTTCATGTGGGGCTATCTTAAAAAGGGGGGGAGCAAGGCTATCTGGGACTTGGTTCTGACTGATGTGTGACTTGTGCAGGGTCTCTGTGTACAATTGTTAGGTTGTACAGCTCTGCAATCTCTTTCCCCAGCCTGGGTTCCTGGGCCCAACCACTGTTTGTATGTTCTGTAGCTACCACAGATAGGCACACTGGCACACTCACTGGGGTTTACATGCATAGAGTGTGCAAATGTGTTCTACCAGAGAGCACACTGGAGTGGTTTGGAGACTAGGAGATCTAACTATCCTATATGTGGAGCTGACTCTGGCCCGTGTCCCCATGTGCCTGAGCCTGTCATAAGTGCAAAGACTTCAGCCTGGCACTCTAGGTGGCTGGGGGCATCTCCCAAGGTTCAGTCTCAAGGTCTAGAGTTCTCCCTTACTGCCTCACACCCAAATCTTTGTCCAGCTGTTCTACTCCCTGCCAGTTACTGACTGGTGGCTGGCATTTGCTCTGCAGGCCTGGACACCATTGCTTGTAGACCGGAAATTTGTGTGGAGCTGGCTAGCAAGACCTGGGCTCCTGGGAGGCAAGCTTTGTGGGAGTTGGCAGGGAGGGTGGGGGAGCCAGGACAGGCAGCTTCCCCTGGGGAAGGGAGCATGCCTTTAGAAAGGGAAGTCTGTTTGGAGGCAATGAATAGACAGTGGTCATTTTAAAGGCTTGGGCTGCAGGCTGTGATTGTCTCTAGATCCCGAGGCGCGTAATCTTGGAGTCTTAATTACTACAAACACTTGGATTCATTTCCAGGACACCGGCGGGAGAAGCCTGGCAGGGAATGCCCTGAACCGGAGACAGCCCTGTCTGTCTAACGTATTGCCTCCCAGGTCCCCTCTCCCTGCCCAAAGGACTTCAGGCTGGGAGTAGGGAGATAGGGCAAAGCCGGACAAAGAGCAGACACCAGATGCAGTGGGATGCCCCTATGGGCAAAAGCCAGGAGCTGGAGTCCCACTCCACAGGCCCCGGGTGGCTTACTCACCTGTTGATGGAAGAGACGCTGGGCACTGTGTCATTGTCGCAGATGCCCTCGGCCAGGAGCCGGTCTCGGATCTCCCATGCAAACATAGTTGGGTTCTGTCTCTTGTATTCAGCAATCTTGTCCACCACTTTGGGTGTCGCCACTTTTGGCTTGGAGCCGCCGATCACACCAGGCTTGATGCTGCCAGTCTCGTAGTACCTGCCCCAGGAAGGCCGGTGGAGTCAGCGAGAAGTGGGTGGTGGCAGGGGCAGGGGGGCTGCAGACTCTGGAGCTGCTGAGCCACTCTCCCGCCCGATGCATCGGCGCAGAGGGAAAAGGCTCAGTGTCTTGTGGAGAATGAGGAGGACAAGGGGGATGCTCCCTCCAGGGAGACAGCCACACCTGGGGCTGGGTGCACACCAGCCAGCATAGGCACCCCCGGGAGTGAAAGCCCAACCTTTCATTTGGAAAAAGCAGCTTCGAGGGCTCCAGGCTGACCAGGGTTGGGGCACCACCTCAAGCCCTTTCCTATTGAGCGCAGAGAACCTATGGGAACCAGGACCCTTCTTCCACCTCCCAAGCACTGCTTTTCCTCCTCTTGGGGATCCCTTTCCACTCCCCACCCTATTCCTCCACCTCCCGCTCCCCCCTCAACCGCATTAACTTGCTAGAAAAGGCATCCCTCCTCTTCTGGAAAAGAAGGAGAACAGGCTGCTCTTCTGAAAGGGCCCTGGAGCAGCGCAGGCACTGGATGACCCTGCTCCACCCTCCTTCCTGGAGCCTGCAGCCACCACCTGAGCACCGGCTCCAAAAGGAGCAGCTCTCCAGGTCCTTTTGGGGATCTCCCTCTCCCACTTGGGGTCCTCGACTTTTAGCCAAGTCCTGGGTGGAGACCCAGGGCTGGCTGGGGAAGGAGGCAGGGCGTCTCCCGGGACAGCTCCGAGGCCCTCACCTGCCCAGGATTTTGCTGACACAGCCGTGGCTGACCCGCAGCTGCCGGGAGATGTCACAGGGCCGCACACCCTGGTGGGCCAGCTCCACGATGCGCTGCCTCACCACGTCGGGTAGGGGCCGGCCGTTCACAAACACCCCCCCGAGCTGGTTCACACCCCCGTGCCCTGCTGGGGAGAGACAAGAAAAAAAACAACACCCCACACACAGCAGGGACCGGCCATTAGTCAGGGTCCGGGACCCCGGACGTGCGAAGGGAGCAGGCAGGAAGTGCACATTCCCGAACTCGAAGAGATAGGTGGCAGTCCCCACCACCACGCAGAGAATTGGGGATTGGAACCCGCGGGACCCGGAGACGCAGAAGTGCAGTGGCTGAGCGGAGGGCCGGGCAAGAACGCGACTCAGACCAGTGCAACGTAAGGTAGAAAGTGAGGGAAGGAATGGAGAAGCCAAGCGAGAGACAAGAGGGGACAGGGAGAGAAAACAGCAAAGAGGAATTAATGCCAGCGGGAGAGAATGTAGGAAAGTGAGGAGAGGAAGGGCCGGGCAGAGAACCGAGCTAGTGCCCAGCGGGATCCCGCCTGCGCCGCAGGCAAAGGGTGAGTTGGTGCCTGTGAGGGCTAGGAGGCGAAGATTTTGGGGTGGGGGTGCGGTTAGGGCCCAGTTGACTCTTCATCAGAACCCGGAGCACAGAGAGGGCTAAATCCCTGGCACACGCACACCTTTGCTCTCTCTATCCTTCTACTTATTTTTAATCGGAATTTTTCTTTCCTTGTGTTTTTGTTTTGTTTTGAATTGGGAGTTTTTATTTCCTTTATGATTTTTATCTTTAGGTCGGGCCATATTTCCCTCTCATCTCCCTAGTGTCTAAAGCGGAGGAGAGAAGGTGGAAGAGGCAGGGGCCGGAGTCTGCTGCGCTAAGAGACGGTGGCGGAGAGCAGTGGGGCTGCGGGTAGCAGGGGAGAACGCAGGGTGCTTGGGCTCGCCCGCCTGCCGCGCCGGGCTGCGCGGGGCTGGGGGCTCATCATCTCACCCAGGTTACATGGCACCAACCGCCCCAGTGGGTTGAGGACTCTCGGGGCACCCTGTGTAGCCGGCCCAAGCCAGCTCGCATCTCTCCGATCTCGCAGACCTAGGCAGCCGGCCAGGAAACCGAGCGGCAAGGGCGTTTGCTCTCCTAGACAAGAGGAGGGCACTGAGTTTCCAACCCGGCTGCAGCGCGAGCTCCTAATCTCCCAGCCGAGGCGGCCTCCAGGTGCCAGGCCTGAAGGGGCTGCTCAGTGCCCCATTCTCTCTGGCCTGCAGCAGTCTAGAAATCCTGCACCCAGAGCGATCAACCAGGAGCCGCAGTTATTGAGCAATCCAAGGCCAGAGACTTGTAGCGGCCGAGACGGGCCCGACCAACCGGCAACCTGAAGCCCCTGCACTGCTAACCTCAAGCGAGTTTCGGAGAAAGCGGGGACATCTGCGACACCCCCCTCGTTCTTCTCCAGTCCCCTTCTGGGGGGACCTAGAGCAAGCTTGGGTGAAACCCCTGGGGAAAGGCTTCTGATTGGGCTGCTGGGGGAAGCTGGAATCTCTTATTTTATCCCCCCCTTTAATCTCCCTATCTCTAGCCCCACTCCTCAGCCCTCCCCTCCCTCCAAACCCCTACCATCAATAATTTAGGCCCCGAGAGAACTCGCGTTACCGGCATGAAAAGGCGGCAGCTGCGGGCAGATTAAAGATGAATAATTCAGCCTTCCCGGGCTCCTGGCCCGGCCCCTCGTCCCCAATCTAAGGGCTGGGGATGAGAAGGGGGCACGGAGGGAGTCCAGGGCTAAGGGTCGGCCGCGAGCGGGCGCTGAGTCCGCCCGGAATGCGCCACTGCCGCCGCCGGCACCAATTAGGGCTGCGGCGGCTCGGCCGCCAGTCCGCCGGCCGCGCTGCGGCTCTCTCCCCTGCTCCGACCTCCTTCCGTTGGGCCTTGCTCCCCTTTGGGTTTCAAAGTGGCTCCCGTGGGCGGTCAGGACTCAGCGAATCCCCGGCGGAATCGGCAAGAGAGGAGAGAGCTGTGGCAGCCCGGCCGCGAGGCAGGCAGGCCGGGCGAAGACGGCGTGCGGACCCGGTTCCGCTCCCTCCGAAAAGGAGCGGGGCTTTCCCGCCCGGAGAACCGTAGCGGCCTGATGCCTTCGGCTCGGATTGCCTGTGCTTGAAAATTATTTAGAGAAATATATTTTATCCTACGAGTGTTTTTTAAAGCTCCCCCTGTTAATGCTAAATATATGCTTACAGAAAAACACAGCTCTCCCTCCTTGGCGTTCTTGTCCTAAGGGATAGATCCAAGCCAGGTCTAAAAAGTTTCCTTGTGAAAAGTTACAAATTATCCTTAATTATTAATCTACAGATGGGGAGGAGTTTTCTATTTAGAATTTTATCTTAGAAAAAAGCCTGCAAAAAAAAATCTCAGAGTAGTTTTCCTAAGCTAAAGACATGACATAAATTAGATAAATTCAAATGCATTAAAATAATTCCTTTTTTGCTATTTTTCTATTTTTCTTCCCTTCTTCTCTTTTTTTCTGTAACATCATTTCAATTTTTTCTTTGATTTCCTTTCTCTTGTTTTGATTTCTCTTTTTCTTTCATCCCAGCTTTGGCATTTGCCATCCTTTTGTTCTTTCCCCCTCATTTTTTTTGCTCTTTGCTGAGCCCGTGGCCAGGCTGCTGGCTGCAGGGGGAGTGGGAAGCAGGCAAGGAGAATCTAGAACTGAGAGCAGAGCTGTACTCTGCCCAAGGCCCACCTGGAAGGCTGCGCTACTGTTGGCTTCCTGACTTCAATTTCTTCTGGAACCTCTCTTTGTTTTTAGAGCATCTCCCAGGCAGAGGCTAGGAAAAATGACCGCTGTCTTGACAACCTCGGATTCCCAACCAAAGGAGAAGGGAAGGGGAAGGAAAGGGAAGGGAGATGGGAAAGAAAGAAAGAGGAAGGAAATATACCAAACGAGCCCACAAGAAGCCTTGGCTGGGCTGGAAGGGCCCGGAGATGCTGAGAGCTGAGGGTCAGAAGGGGGCACCCCACCCCCACACTTTTCTGTCCGATTGTCCTGACACTAGGCTGCCCTGAGCGTGGAGTCTCCTGGACACCCACAACTCTTAAGTTTGAGAAAGGTAGAGATGAGAGGAGGAAGGAGGGGGGAGGCAAATAGAAAAGAGAAAACAACAAAACACAACACCCCAAAAACTGCCTGCCAATTAGTACCCCAGCCCAGGGCAAGAGGCTGACTAGGGAGTGGGTGGCTGGAACCAAGGGCTGGGCGCAGTGGATCCCATGACCTAAGGAGCAGGTGGAAGGAGCAAAGGTAGGTGATGGGCATCAAGGCAGGCAGGCAGGCAGAGGAATAAGTCTGGGTGACAGAAGGCAAAAGGGAGAGAAGCTGGAGGCGTAAGAAACACTAGGCAAGGGAAAGAGGAAGAATGAAAGGAGGGACCAGGAGAAGCCAGCGTGGCCTCCAGGATGGGACCTGAGCGCGGGTGCCGGGGGCCAACCTGGAACTGCACAGGGTTGGGACGGAGAGCCCCGAGCCAGGACAGGAGCCGGGCGCCGGTACTCACGGTGCATCGCGGAGAAGGGGTCTGCTTTGCAGTGCATATCCATGGGGAGGCAGAGGAGAGGGAGCAGCGCGGCCGCCGCCGCCGTGTCGCCTCGCAAACTCAACTTCAGGACTTGAGGAGAAAAGGGAGGGACGGTGGGGGAGGGAGGATGAGCGGGCGCCCGGCTGCTGCGGGGCACGCGGGGGCGGGGGGGCGCCGCGCTGAGCTCTCGGTGGCTGCTCCGAGCTGGCCGAGGCTTGCCACCGCAGCTGCCGCAACTTCCCACCGTCGGGGCGCGGGGCTGGGCAGTCAGCAGAGCGGCCCCGGGGCGGCGGGCCGGGCCTGGGGACACTGGGGACGCATGGCTCGCGCTGCAGCCGCGGCCAAGGCTGAAGCCTGGCGGGGGAGGTGGCTCCCTCAGCTCCCCTGGAACCCGGTCATCAGAGAGGCGATCGGAGAGGGCGCGGGGCGGGGGCAGCGCGAGGGCGCCGGGAGGGGAGCGGGGCCGTTCCAAGTGCCGGCGAGTTGGCGAAGTTGGCAGAGAAGTAGCAATCCCAGGGATGTCCGAGCGGGCGCCAGCGGGAGGGGAGCGCTAGAGCCTGGCCCCCGCCCCCGGGAAAGGCTGGCGCACGCCGCCGCGGCCGAAGGGCCGGGAGGGAGGGAGGGAGCCGAGCGGCGCCGGCAGCTCTGGGCTGGCCCCAGGTGGGTTGCGGCTGCGAGAAGACTAGGCCAGAGACTGGAGCCTTGGCTCCGGGTGTGTGTCTCTCTAAAAGCTGCAAAGCCCCCTCCAGACCCCCTCCTCCTCCCCGCGCCGGGAGATGGATGACTTGTCAGACAAAGGCAATAGATTCCACCACTCTGTGATTCGCCAGCGCTGGAGCCCCGAGCTTCGGCGAGGAGGGCCCCGCGCCTGTCACTCCGGTGCCGGCAAGGGGGAGGGCAGGGGAGGGGGAAATGGGAGGGAAGAGCGAGCGAAGGAAGAGAGAGGGAGGCAGGGAGGGAGGGAGGGAGGGAGGGGAGCGGGCCAGGGGGAGGAGGAATGGGAGCCCGGGATTAAAACTACACTGAGAAACGAAACTCGCCGATAAGATAAACGTTAGATAAGGATAAAGAGCGGCCAGTCTAATGAATATTCAGGCAACGACAGAGGGCCGCGGAGCGCGCGGCGCTGAAAAGCCAGGCTTTCAGTTCCAACTCGCCCAGCCCTGCCATGCACCGGCCAGTGCCCGCGTGGGCCGGTGGGCCGCGCGGCCCCAGGCCGGGTTCGCATCCGTAGCCCCAAACCTACTACCCTCACCTATGCGTTCCCTTCCGTTCCTTCCTGGCTCTTCCTCTTTGGTTCTTCCCTTTCGCTTTTCCCTCTTGAGGTACCTCCCCACCCACGCACCCCCAATTCGCATTCTGGGGGAAAGTACCCAGCAGTTTTTCCTCTCTTGTCCCACGCGCGGCTGCGCGCATGGCCTCCCTCGATCCCTAGCCCACTCGATCTGGCCAGTCCAGTGCGCTTGGTTTAGAATGGAGCTGGAGACCTCCGGCGAGCACCCACCTGCCTCGGTGGGACCCAATGGAAGACAGGAGAGCCGGAGACTTGATTCCTGGACTCTCAGGTGGCCAGGGATGGGGACTGGGGAGAGAAGACAGTACGCAGCGGCAGGTTAGTGGCGGCAGAGGATGCGGAAGACCCAGGCTTGCTCTCCCCGGCTGGGGAGAAGAGGAGGAGGCTTCGAACGCGGCTGAGCGCCGCCCGCTGCTAGCTCGGAGGATCCCGCGGATCCGGAGCGAGCGCAGGAGTCGCAGTGCGCCCGGCCAGCCCCACTCCTGCTGGAGCCGCTAGCCCAGCCTCCGCAGCCCTCGCCAGAGCTCGTTCCCTCGCTCACTAGGGTCTGCGTGCATGCACCAGGCAGGAGAAGCCCTTTGTCTCCTAACTGGTTAAGTACAGAATATCCGAGAGATCTTTATGAAATATTTTCCCTCGTCTCATAAATCATCTTGGCACTTCAGCTGATGTTTTAACTCTCTCTCCCTCCTTCGCTCCCTCCCCCCGCTTTCCTAGGTCTGCAAAAGGGCGGCTTCCCGAAGCCCGCGCTGCGCTGCGCTCTTGCTGCCTGGACCCGAGGTTTTTCCGGACTCTGTCAGAAGCCCCAGGTGCTCCGGGTAAGCGCCACGGACTTGCGCCCCTGTCCCTCTGGCCAGACGGCCTGGGCGGCGGATAGATTAACGCACCCGCCTGACTCAGCTCAACTCAGCCTACTACCGAGCGTCTCGTACCAGGTTTTCGGGGCTCGGACCAGGCTCAGCCGACAAGGTTCTGAGCCTCCCACTCCTTGGGCTGAATTCTCTGGGATCCCGGCATTTGCCCTCCTTCCTGGATCTTCCTGAGCCCCGTCAGCTTAATCCACCTGCGGGGGATAAAGTTTAGGAGGGGAAAAAAAACATTCCCCTCTTGATGCCCCCCTCCCAGCCCTCACCCCACTTCCGTTGGGCCGCGGAGCAGGTTCCCTCCCGCTAGAGGTTGAAAGCGCTTGGTCCGGCCCGAAGGTCAGTCTCTTCCTCTAGAGGCCTGCAGATGGCGCTCCCGGGTTTGCTTTGGCCTCACAACCCCACGAACACGCACTAACTTCGTGTGTGAAGCAAAAAAGGAAAACAGTTCGCGCAGCCTAAAAGGAACAGCTTCCAGGCCAGGGAGCAAGGGATCTCAGGTAGAATTAGCTGGTGCTGCCTTAGTTTCCTTTGGGGAAGTAACTAGCCCAGAATTGGGGGAGGAGGGAGAATTGAGGAAGGATCCTTACGGAGAGGTGTTCAGAACTAAAGTAAGCCTTGTCCCAGGTCTCCCTATGTGGGTCATCGAGGGGGTGGTCTTGGGGAGTCTGAACTATTGGAGGAACAAGACTGTGTAGAACCCCCTTTCCACACATAGGCTCAGATTTTTCTAGAACCAGCTAGACATATCTCCACATTACACATAGGGCACAGACAAGAATTTTCACAGATTGGGCAAGAAGGATTTTCACATTTTGTAGAGAAGGGGACTTAGTGCACAAAGTGTGTTGGAAGTTGTATTCACACACCTATCCTTCACATGCACCCTTCCATGATAGTCTAATTCCCAAGCAGCCCCCGAGAGCCCAGGCATCTGCTCCCGGGACCCTCTCCCTAGCACTGCGATAGCTGGACACACCCTCCTGCCAGGCTAGTCCCTGGCAGCTTCCTCCTTAGCCAACCCATTCCTGGGTCTGCAAAGTCAAAGAGCAATGCTCCCTGGTGATTCAGAACCCCTTTTAGCCAAGGCTCTGCCTTCTACTGGGGCTCTAGGATGAAGGGCTGGCCTCTCCCTCTGAGTCTGCCTTTCCTGTTCTTTTTCTATGGAGTCTAGTAGAGGGGGAAAAAGCAAGAAAGGAAAAAAAAAGGAAGAAAGAAGAGGAAAGAGGAAAAGAAAGGGAAAGAAAGAAAACAACCCAACCCCAAACACAACCCAGGCTCTGACCTGTCAGGGTTGGTTGCTTTTCCCGTCTGCCTCTAAATGAACCTTTTTTCTCTCTGGTGTTTTCAAAGCGGCCCTTCCACCCCCCAACCTAGGGGCATTTACACTTCAAACAAGGCACCCGCCTCCCTGCGGAAATTTAAAGGCAAATAAACTTTTGGGGAGTTGCTCTGATACCCATCTCGGGATTTGCTTCATTAGCCGCCTCTGTGCATCTGATCTGCCCAATAAATCTTCCTTGTGGATCTCGGTTCCTTCGCCTTCTCCGCTCCCTTCCCTGCTAGGCTAGCCCGGAGCCTAGCAGCCCCCACCCTTGCTTCCTCCCTCACCTCCTCCCTGGAGGCTGAGCTACTGCCGGCCTGGCTCTGCGGCTGGGTCATGCCTGCTCTGCCTGGGTGTAGGTGTTAGGAGGCGGGTAAGCACCCTTCTCCTCGTGTGTACCTGTGCTTGGGCGTCCCAAGCCAAGCCCAGTGCAATTCGCACCCACAAGCTCCCAAATGCTTTTGTGGGCATACTGTGCAGAAATGAAGTGCTCCCATAGACCCTGTTCACTATCCCCGCTGGCATCCATTCCCTTCTCGACTTTTCTGTTCGTTTGTTGGTTTCCCGTTCCCTGGCTCAGCGCTTTCTGCCCAGGCGAGAAAAGGCAGAGGCGTGGCTGCCTCCCCTCCGCCCGCAGGGCCCTGAACTCAGGTTCAGGCCCCCTGCCTCGAGCAGTTTGGGGAGGCAGCTGGGCCTTGGGGGACCTGGCGGGGACCACTGGCAGCCTCTGGAGCATCCCAGCCGTGCTCCTCCCCCGTGGCCTGGGCCTGCCTTCCTCCTTCCACCTCCCGGGGCGCGGCAAAGGGGAGCTAGGCCGGGGCTCTGAGGGAAGGGATTAGAAATTCCGAAATTAAATGTATCTCCCCAGGAAATGCTCCCCACCGCGCGGACCAAATTAAACGCATTAAAGTTCAGGGGGGAAAAAGCTGTTTAGAATCAAGGGGGGAAAAACTAGTCCGAAGGGAAGAGAAGCAGAAGCGAAGAAGGGAAGAGAGCAGGGTGGAGCCGAGCTACAGCTCCGCAGTCGAGCTCCATTTCTGGATTATTCCCAGTTTGAGAAGTCACCACCACTATCACCAGAAAGAAAAGAGAAAGAAAAAAAAAGTTGTGACAATCGAACTCTGGGACGGACGCACAACAGCCAGTCCACTCGCCCTCAGGATCCTGGCGCACCCGGGGGCGCCTACCCTCTGCAGTCAGATCCCGGGCAGCCGGGCGCTCGCACCGGCCGCGTCTCCAGTTGGGCCTGACCGGCTCCCGCCAGGCCCTTTCCCCTCCTCCCCCAACCTTCTCTCCCCGCCCCTCCCCCTGCCTAGCCCTCTGGTCACGTTGGAGGATGGGTTTTTTTTTTTTTTTTTGGAAGAGCTTCTGGTACAATATGGAGCACCATGGGCTGCAATTTCACACTCCACAGCACATTCCCCCTAAAGCTACTTTCTTTTTTTTTCATCTAAGACCCCCTAATTTCTGTTTCCTCGCTCCCTCCCTTGCTCCCTCCTCCCTCCTGCTCTCACTCTTCTTTTCCCGCTTTTGTTCTCAATATTTGGGCTCCCTGCGTGAAGGGGGGGCGCGGGGGGCGCCTGACTCTGGCCTGAGCGGTCTGTTGGTTCTGTGGAGGCTGCGCGCACGTGCTGGGTCTTTACCCCCTGCCCCTCCCCCTTTAACCCGCTTCCTCTCACAAGAGGTCCTAGCGACCTGCCTGGCCCTTCGCAGCTCCTTTGAGGGGCAGCGACAATGTAAGCCACTTGGCCACCAAAGCTGCCTCTTAGTGGCACGGGCCAGCCAGGTGGCTGCCACCCGTGGGTCACCCGACTGGGGGGCTGGAAAAAGTCAAGCCAGGAGAAACCGGGCCAGCAGTCTACAGGACAGGAGTGGAAGGCCCTGTCCAACAGAGAACAAACTAGAAGGGTGAGGGAAGGAGCCCAGTGAGAGCCTGGTACTCTTGGCTCAGACCTGGATGCCACCTCCCCAGGCACCCATGGACCTCTGCACAGTTAAAGGGGCTACTAACCTCATAGCCTACAGAAAAAAGCAGCAGCCGCTACATGTATAGTCCCTTTGCTTCTTTGGGCCTCAGTTTTCTTATCTATAAAGTGGGGATAATTTCACTTGTCTTGTTTACACCATGGAGCTAACCAAAGGGATTTGGGGGGAAAAATTACTATAGCAGATTATGGAGTAAATGCTCAGCTTTCTGAACCCTTAACTTTCCATAAAGAGGTAAGGGAGGAATCTGAGCCCATAGGCAGGGCAGGGAAGTGACGTTTTCCATCCAACTTCTAGCCTATAAAGGTTACTGGGGATTCATCACCGCACCCCCTTCCTGTGTTCCTCCCTTTCAGGATATTTTCCCCTTTCCATTGACTATACCACAGGTTTATTTCTGAGTCCTCAGTCTATCCCTCCTGCCACTCCTCCATCCCCACTTCCTGCACCCCCTCCCCACTGCACAAGCGCAGCTGCTAGAGGATCAGTTAAATTCCTCACCGCCGCCCCCCCCCCATAGCCGGGTTAATTGTGGCCTCAGGCACGGTCCCCTTCAGCCAGTCCGCCAAAACCATTGGGAGGAGCTGGCCCATTGGCGGAGACTTGGAGAAGGAAATCCCGTCCGGTCCGGTTCCAAACAAAGAAAGTTGGTCCTTCCAGGACCTGCAGTCAATCTGCCAGAGCAGAGATGAGACCGTGGGGAGAGGCCTGATGGGGGAGGCATGCAAGGAGACAGGAGGGGAAGAAAGAGGACAAGAAAGGGGCACTGGGTGAACTGAGAAGACACCTGCCTCTGAAAGGCCTGAAGAGCTGGTTTGGGGCAAGCGAGGTCCCCACAAGGCCAGCTGCCTCTTCCCATCCTCCCTAAGCGAGGGTGAGAGTCCGACTGAGGCTGGACGCCCGTGGCGAAGTAGGGATTGGCCCTCTTCTCAGTCGGGCCCGGAGCCCGCGGCCTGACCAGGCTGGGGTCGAGGGAGACAGTGCAGTCCAACCGGAACGTCCCCGGGTTACCCACCACCTCCGCCGACGGAGGGGGCTGCGGAGGGAGGAGACAGGCGGCAGCAAGGGGCAGCCGAAAGGGGACGGAGTGCAGGGCAAGGGGAGTGCTACTCCAGATACCTGGAGACAGGAGGGAGCGATATAGCCACAGGGAAAAGAAGGGGCCAGAGCGGGAGAGAGCGCAGCAGCGCTGAGGAACAGTTGGGGAGGGGCGGGAGAACCGGGGCCGAGTTTCTCCGGAGTTGCGAGCAGACACCAAAGCCACCGTCTCGGATCCATCCGCGGCGCGCCCGCCCTCCCTTCCTCCTCTCTCAGCAGCTGTGTGGATGTGAGGAGCAGGCGGAGAGCGCGCCACAGCCGGGAGCGGGTAAGGCAGGGGGACACCCGCCAGCAAGACAGGGAGACGGAAGGGCTGGGACACCAAGGCAGGAGGCAGGATAGAGACAAAGGACCAGAGTGGAGGGGAAAGGGGACAAGGGGCGAGAGGGAATAGCTAAGACAGGGAGAGGCCCGAGGAAAAGGGGTGTCTCAGGGGCTGGCCCAGGTTTGTGTACTCCTGCCTGCTCCGCCCACGCCCAGCCTGTAGCCGGGATGTCCCCGGGGCTCCTGGCGGCCTCGGGTCGGGTGTGAGGGTGTCGCTGGGAGTTGCTGTGGCTGTGGAGCTGTGTAAGTGTGTGCGCGCGTGTATGCGTGCGCGCGTCACGGCACGGGCAGGCGGAGGAAGGGGTAGGGAGGGGAGTGCCCTTGCTGTAGGCTTAGACCCCTGCACCAGGCCACCGCAAGCCTCCGCCCTCCACAGTCCAGAGCCGTCCATTCCCCGAACTTGAAACAAAAAGGCTGAACCGAATCCCTCAGGAGCCAGGAAAAGATCTCTTTCTGGAAAAAGCGCTTTGGTTTGAGACTTTAAGGGTCACCTGCATCCAGGACTATTTCTTTTTTTTTTTTTTTTTTTTTAGACAGAGTCTCGATTTGTTGCCCAGGCTACAGTGAGTGCCGTAGCGTTAGCCTAGCTCACAGCAACCTCAAACTCCTGGGCTCAAGCAATCCTGCTGCCTCAGCCTCCCGAGTAGCTGGGACTACAGGCATGCGCCACCATGCCTGGCTAATTTTTTCTATATATATTAGTTGGCCAATTAATTTCTTTCTATTTATAGTAGAGACGGGGGTCTCGTTCTTGCTCAGGCTGGTTTCAAACTCCTGACCTCAAGCAATCCGCCCGCCTCTGCCTCCCAGAGTACTAGGATTACAAGTGTGAGCCACTGCGCCCTGCCTTCCAGGACTATTTCTTAACTTTCTATAACTGTTCCTAGAAAAGAAAAGGTGCAAGGTAAATCTCGGACCAAAAAAGGTCCTAGGAGTTAGCTAGACCTGGGGATAACGAATACATTGAAGAAACCAACTAGTGGAGAAAGGGATCTCCTTTCAGTTTCTAAATCAATTAAGGAGAATTTCTGTGTCTCCTTGGGGGTTGAACGTCTCTTGGTGAGCCAATCGTGTAAGTGTGAGTGTTGTGAGGGTGTGTAAAAAGTATGTGTGTGTGGGGGGTAGTGGCAAAGGGTGTCTAGGCAGACAGCTGTGTTCCAGGCGGGGCAGAGAGAGGAGCCCAGGACCCATATCCAGCACCTCCCCTCCTCCCTCTGTTCTCAGCCTGGGCTGCTCCGAGGCCAAGGCCTCCGCAGCCTCTTCCAGCGGGGCCGCCAATCAATCCTGCAGGTCAACACAGCAATTAATAACAGGGTGAGGAGGCCTGGCAAAAGAGGGCGGGGAGGCGTCAGGCTGTGTCTCCCGCAGGCTCAGAGGGCCCGGCAACCAGACAAGGGGGGGGGGGTTCTGAGGGTAGAAAGAAATCTGGGAACTCAGTGTAGGCCTGGGAGAGGGCCCAGGGCCTCTGGAGGGAGAGACAGGGGACTAGCAACAGGGAGCCAGAGAGCCACCTGGGACAGGGCAGCGGAGAAAAAGGGAGGACATCCAATGAACGGCTTGTTTTTATGGTTCTGGGGGTATGGGCGGCGATAGTTGAAGACCACAATTGTCCTAGTTGCTGATTCTCTCCCCTTACCCCTTCCCTCGCCCTTTCGCATGGTTTTCGCTGCTCTGGAGCAGGCTCAGTGAGACTAAATAAAACCCGCATACTTCGCAAACCCCGCTGCAGCGGTTGCGCCGGGGCGTCCGACAGGCACGCTCAGTCACGCGCGTCTGTCATTGTCATTTTGTGCTAGCCGGATGGTGCCAAAAAGGGCGCAGGGCCGTCTAGGGGACGAAGGGCCCCGGGGCCCCGGGCCGGGGTTATACCCGGGTCAAACGTGGCTATGGAAGGGATAAGACCAGGGGAGCGGGAAGGAAGAGGCAGGCCAGAAAGAGGCAGGGCGCGGTGAAAAGAGAAGGAAAGAGAGAAGGCGGCCGGGAGGGCGGAAGACTGCGGCTCGGCTTGAGGGGCCCCTGGAAGGCTGTTTCCTTCTCACACGCAGCCCTGCCTCCTGCCCCGCTCCGCAGCTGCTCCCCACCCTTCCGCGAGCTGCGTCTGCCTGGAATGCGAGCCCCGCACGGGCAAAGGCGGGAAAGGAAGGACGGGAATGGGAGCGCGGTGCGCAGCCGGGCCGCTAAGCCCAGAGGCCGGGAGCAGCTGCCCTAACCCGCCAGGCGCAGGTAGGCGCAGGCGCCTCTGGGTAAGTGGGAAGCGCCCTGGTCTCTCCCGGAGTAGTCCGAACGCCAGGAAACCTGGGATGAGGACCGTGATCGGCTCCAGGGATGCCCCCATCGCTCTGCTTTCTCCTTCCGGAAGCTCTGGGGAGGAGGCCTGGATGCCTCTGCTGGGAGACTTGCAGGGACTGGGAACCTGGTCCACCCCAGGCCTGCAAGGCAGGGAGAGCCGCCTGCCCAGAGGGAAAATGCGAGTATCAGGAGCCTGAGCAAACAGGGACAGAGAAGGAGGGAGGGGTGGGGACCCAAGGCGTCAGGAGGTAAAATAGATTTCAGAGGGAGTGAAGAAGAGAGAATCCCTGTTCCAGAGAGGAAGAAAGGGGGAGAGCGGTTTCCAGGAAGACCCAGACATTAGGTCTGTCCTTGGGCTGCATATTTATACGGTCGAGGGGGTGCACAGATGGGCTCTCAATTGAATTCCATCTTCAACACCATCAGAGATTGATTTTGTACTCGCTTTTAATTTTGCCATAATTAATTAGATCATTACAACTGTTTGCTATTGATCTCCCTACTTAAACCTCTGGTGCAGAGGGTATGCCCAAAGCCCTAAAAACCCAAGAGGCCACAGTCAACAGTCCTGGGGGCCCAGGTTCTGCAGTGGGGACAAGACCCCAGGAGGGAAATGGGGACAGCCCAGGGATTGGACCAAGAAGCTAAAGCAAAGATAGTGCTGGGGGTGGGACCTGAATTAGCTGAATCAATTGGAACCTAAGCTGGTGGAGTGGGGGCAAGGAATGAGATTTGGAGAAGATGAGGAGGGAGTCAAAAAAGGCCCAGAGTTAGGCCTTTACCTCGGTGGAATTATTTGGAAAACTCTGGAAACCTGATCCAACTCTTTCTCCTCTCCCTTCCCACCAATCCAAAATTAAGCTTGGCCACATACTTTCCCAGCCCTGCACTATACCGGGGCACCTAATGGTCGGTCGGTCGGTCAGAGCTGAGTTGGCAGGCCTGGGGGCAGAGGGAGAGGAAAAAATTAAAAAGAGAGCAGCCCTCCACTCCCTTGGCCATTTGAGTAAAGTTTCACATTCTCCTCTCCACTTGGGTTCCCAGGGGCCTGCCACCTCTTCTCTAGGCCTCCCTTGAGTCTCTTTTAATTTTTTGAGCAGAGCCTTCTCCCCACACTTACACACATCCACACTAGTGTTTGTAATCAAATACACAAGACCCTCACACGCAGGTGCACACAGGCATGTGCACATAGCATTTCCCCACCCGCTGGCATAGGTGCTGGCCCACGCCCACTCTCCCTTCCCTCTGGAAACTAAGGCTTTCCCAATGCTCTCAACTTGGAGGAGGCTGTGCAAAATATTTACATGCCAAGAGAAAGTGGAAAGTCCTAAACACAACAGAAAGGAAAAGGCAACTTCTGCAAAGAGACCAAGAGAAGTTGTAAAACTCACGTTTTCTGAGTGGAAAGTTTTTAGCAGAAGAGTTGGAGGACACTGGGAGGGAGGGTCCAGGAGTCCCAGTGGTGGGGACAGTCCCCAGAGCCTCAGTCCCCAGCCCTTACAGTCGCCCGCGTGGTCCCAAGCAGAGGAAAGAAAGAGTGGGGTACGCCCAGGCCTTGGCCACCCCCATCCCTCTCCGATGCTCCCACGCCCTTGCCTACAGCGCTGACGGGTCTCTCCTCTTACCTGCCGGACCCGCGCGCCCTTCCATGCTGTGCTCCCCGCTGCCGCCTCCTGGGCCTGGGTCTGACTTCCGCGCTCCTCCGCCGCCCGACAACCCGTCTCGTTTTTTGCCGCCGCCACCCGCAGATCTGGGCGCAGCCACCCAAGACCGAGCAGCTCAGATAACCCAGGCTGCTCGCCGCCGCGGCTGTGTGCTCCGCTCGCGCCCGCACTCGCACACCCGGCCGCGCCGAGGCACAGCCACACGCCAAGGAGCCCCGGGCTCTCCGCCCGCGCACACGCGCGCACACGCACCGAGGCCCCCAGCCAGCCGCAGGCAAGCCGACACTCTCGCGGCCGCAGGCACCCACAGACCGACTGAATCCCCGGTCTAGATGCCGCACACCCTCTCACCCCACCCCCTCTTCCTCACTGTCACAACTCCCCTTCCGTCCTACAGCCTCGCCTGCGGGGGGGGGGGGGTGTCCTCCCTCTCACCTACTCCCCAACTTTGTGCTGTTCGCCTTCCCCAGCACTAGCTCCACAGACTGCCACACGCCCCCGTCCCAGCCTCAGTCTCCAAGATCTCCACAGGCCTGTCCCCACTTCCTCAGGCCACACAGTTGTTCCTGGAGGTCCCTGTCATCACTGTATTCATGATCACTAAATCCCTCACAGGCTCTCCTTGCCCTGGATTCCTTTTTTCTTTTTAAACTCAATAAAAGAGAAAAGTCCTGGCTTCCTTGCCAGTGACATGGTGAGGACACCCCACTCCTCCTAAGCTCCTGCTACGCTCACATGGCCACCCTCTGGAAACATGCCTCTCCACAGCAGTCTGGTCTCCTCACCCCAGTCTCTTGGACCCTCTGACTCACTCTCTCCTCTCCATGCACACTGCTGCTTTCATTCCTGATCAAAGGCCCACTTTAACTTTGTCCCACATCATGCCTCCCTAATCTGGAGATCTGGAATCTACACCTCTCACACCTTGGTCACAAATTCTCTATCAAATCTCTCACACACCACCTTTCTCATATGTACCCTCAGATTTCCATTTCTTATACACTCACATGCCTCCTGAGCACTACTGCTCCCACTTCTGCTTTCCCCATGTTTCCTTTCTCATTTGCTCCACTTAATGCTCCCCCCCCCCATTGCCCTGGGCCTGACAGGGAAACAGAGAGAGGCTGTGGGGAAAGTGCTGGGTAAGCCCCAGTGTGCAGGCAGAGAGGCCTGTGGCTGGCCTCATCTCTGCACACACTCCAGGCCCTGAGCAGAAAGGCACCAAGGCAAGGGGCAGGATGCAGGTCCACTGGGCCCACTTCCCTTAGAACCTGGAAGCCATCTACTGGGACTCCCACCCACTTTTGCTGCACTTCCTCTAGAAAGGTTGTGCACTACGGACAGAAAGCTGGAGGGGCACAAGAGCCCAGAGGCAAAGCCTATATCATGGTTCCCTGACTTAAATTTTTAAAATGTTCCTGTAGGAATATGAATTTCTACCCTTTCAGGCAAATCATGGCCAAATTATTATCTTACCAATATTTGTGATTTAAAACATCAGACTTTGGTGGTGTTTTTTTTTTCTTTTTTTCATTAGTGATTTCCCAACACAAGCCCACAAAAACTTAAAAGTAAAAAAAAATTTTTCATTATACTACAGAGCAACATTTCTAAGGACAAGGATGGGAGGGCAATATGCATAAAAGAAACCTTAGTCACATACACAAAAACCCCATAGTATCATGTGGTCACTCCATTGCACACAGATAATTAGCCTCTCAGTGTTACCTACTCAGAACCACACCCAGTCACACACAGGGGCCATGACCTGCTAGTCACACCTTCCCTGCACAGCTCTTTGTGGCTTTGTTTCCTCTTTTCTGAAATAGTGATAATAATCCTTGCCCCTGTCACAAGTTTCCAAGAGATATGTGTGTGCAAGTGATTTAGAAAGTGTGAAGCATGACCACACAAGCTTTGGGTGCACTTGCTCCTGTATCATCAGGAACTTGAACTAAGACCCAGTGTCCCAGACACACACATAGGAAAGTACCCACTGGGAACCAGGTGTTTTGAACTGGGGACATACACTTGTTTCAGTGTCCCCTGCCTGCCCCCAAGCCAGTTCGTCACAGTTACCTGAACACAGGGCCCAGGGTTGGTGCAGTGCCAGGGCTGGGGCCTAGGCCCAGGGGAAGGCAGTGGAGGCCATTGTGCTAAGCAGCCTGTCGCATACCAGAGGAGCCGTGAGGAGGAAGGAGCCTTCTTAGCTCTTGGCTCTGACACTCTTCCTCAGGAAGCTTGCAAGGTGATGCCAGTCAAAGGGCCCAGCCTGGTACCCCAGCCTCCCTCCAGCTTCCTCCCTCAGGCTCTGCCTCTCTTTGTCTCCTGGCCTCACCCCCATCCCACATTGTCTCTTGGGCCCTTTTGCTCATTGCCTGCCCCATTGATTGAAAGTCTCTCTCAGGTTCTCCAAGGAGTCCCAGGAAAAATGATCCACCAGCCTATTGATTCTTCATTAGAATTACATTTTCACGTGTGCTAAATTGGTTTTAAAAGCTTTTTCTGTTGTTATTGTCTTGTCAGACCCTGTGGTACAGGGCAAACCAAGTTTAAACGTTGTGGCTTCTTAGGAAAAAAAATAATCACTGGGGCTGGGTCTGTGATTACTCGCTTTTCTGCCTTATTGTTGTCATGATGACAATTGTGATTTGGTTTAAGTATCTTTAGGAAAAAGGCCCTGCAGGAGGCTGCTCAGGTCAGGCTGGGGCTGGCTGGTGAGGGATCTGAAGCCCCTGGAGGAAAGTTATCAAGGCACTTTTTCTTTTCCTGAAAATTAAATTTAGCACTTGAATCTGTATTGTTTCTGGGACAAGAGGAAAGGTGAAAATTTTAAAAAATCATTATTTCTTTACTCCACTTCCTGATGAAATAGAGAAGAAAGAAAATAGAGCCCCACTTATTCTAGCTCCCTCCTTTCTCCCATAAATAGCTGGGGGTGTGGTGAGGAATATGGGTCTTCAGCAAGGTGCTAAGGAAGAGGCCACAGTCTCATGATTTGTAGCTGGGCAGAGGCCGGGTCACAAGGACACTGGTAATCATTATACTCTGCGCTGGCCAGGGAGGAATGATCCAAATGAGGGGAAAGAAGAGGGAAGAGAGAGGCAGAGACTGGGATAGAATAAAGTACAGAAGAAACCCAGAGAGGGAAGAGTTCAGGGCCAAGCTGACAGAGAGAGAGAAACAGTCTACCAGTCTGATTGGCAGAGACAGAGAAGCAAAGGATAAGAGGACAGAGAGGGAGGGAAGGAAGGAAGTGGGAAGACAGTAGAAATAAAAAAGGAGAGGAGGGAAAAAGAGGAGAGACTGAAAAGAAATGTACAGAGGAAGGGGACTGAAAGATAGAGAGCAAGAGAGGGAAAGAGATAAAGGCAGCCACAGGAGCAAGCCCCAGGGAGCACCCGGTGCCTCCAGCCTGTCCCGCCCCCAGCCCCCCGCCCTCCTTCTGGCCTGGCAGGGGTGGGCTGTGCCGGAGAGTGGGCACGGGGCGGCGGCGGAGCCGAGGCAGGAGAGCCGAATGTCTTCGTGATGTGTTTATCCCCTAATCAGTTCATTAGTTATAAACAACATGACATTAGAAGTTAGGAGGCAGTTGATATTAATTTTTATTTAACTAGTTGATGTTTAATCCGTCACGCCAGGCTGGGTAGCAGCGAGAAAGATCTTCCTGACACAAAACCAGTTAGAACTTCATAAGACGCAATCAGTGTCCGCGCGTTGAAACAAACAAGAGAGACAGAGACAGTGAGACAGGGAGAGACAGAGAGACAGAGGCAGCCCCGCCAGAGATAGAGACAGCGTGGCGGGCGGGGAGAGAGCTAACCCAGGGCGAGGTCTGGGGTGGGAAATCAGCTAGAAAGACTGAGAGCGTGGAGAGGACCCCTCGGCGAGGGGCTGAGAGCCCTGAACCTGTGCTCCAAGCCCTGCCCGACCCCGCGATGCAACTGTGAGGGACCGAGGGCTGGCGCCCTGGGAAGGCCAGGCCAGGGCAGCGGCGGGCGTCGCCAGGGCCCTGCCAGGCTTCTCCGCTGCAACTATCAAGAGGAGAAATGCATTTGGTGTCTGGCTGCCTGGCGGGTGGCCAGGGGCGAATATCCTAGCGAGGTGAGGCCCCAACTTTGGGAAACTCTTTCCTCTCCCAGTCTGGAGGCTGAGAACCTCCTCCCTCCCTGCTCCAGGAAGAGTGGACCCACGCAAGAGGAAAGAAGGAAAGGCGAAGAGTTTGTGCGCAGCGGCTCAAGTTTGATAAAGTTTGCAGCCGTCACAAGCCAGAGCAAAGTGTGTGTGTGTGTGGGGGGGGCTTGGCAGTGGCAAGGAGGGAGGAAACAAGGGACAGTCTGGGATTCTGCAGCAGGGAGAGGGCATTTGCCCGAGTTTGCCCACGCCTTCACGAGCGTCCTTGCATGCGGGGCTCTGAGCAGAGACCAAACTAAGCTGTGTTGGTCGCGGGCTCCTCGGGTGGCCTGGAGTTTCAGACCCCCCCCCCTTTACCCAGGTTAAGCTCCCTCCAACCCCTCCCCCAGAGCACGAGAGCTCGGCTTTTTCCACCTTCACTCCGGGCACTGGCGGGCACTGGCTTGGTCACGGCTTCGTGCGCAGGCAAGGGGGCGGGGGCGGGCTGTAGTTTTCCGCCGTCGCGAAGGACACTGTTTGGAGGGGCAGAGGCATCCTCGCCCGCGCGCAGACTCAAGCCGAGCATCTCACGGTTTGCATGTTAATCTGACTCCACCGCGAAAAGGAAATCGCTGGAATTCCGAAGAAAATTGCCTCTCGCCGGCGGTTAATAGTTAACTCAGACAGGAAAGTTCCCAGGGAAAGGCGAAAGCCAGGGCGAGAGGTGCAAGGGAGGCGGCCAAGGAGGCGCCTCGGGAGGGCCGCGGCCCAGCCCGGGTCTCTCCCCTCGCCCGCTGCACTGGGGCCCTCACGCCTCCCCTCCTCGGGCAGCGGCGTCCCCCACCCGGTAATTAGCATCGTTTAGTTGACAAAACCCTTCCTGGGAGAAATCTGTTCCCTTGTTCCGGGGCTCGGTTCAGCACCTGATTCCGCCGGGTGAGGCGAATAAATCACCGCGGCGCGGCTGGGGAGCCGACCCGAGCCCGCCAGACGGGGCCGCCGGGAGAACGAACAAGTGAGGAAGGCGG